CCCCCCCCCCCCCCCCCCCCCCCCCCCCGGCCCGGCCCGCGCCCCCGATGCTGAGCTCAGTGTGCGTCTCCTCTTTCCGCGGGCGCAAGTCTGGGAACAAGCCGCCGTCCAAGTCATGTTTGAAAGGGGAGATGGGCCGGAACGAAGACAACGACAAGATCGTCATCAACGTGGGCGGCATCCGGCATGAGACGTACCGCAGCACCCTCAAGACCCTGCCGGGCACGCGGCTGTCCTGGCTCACCGAGCCGGACGCCTGCAGCAACTTCGACTACGACCCCAAGGCCGACGAGTTCTTCTTCGACCGGCACCCGCAGGTCTTCGCCTACGTGCTCAACTACTACCGCACCGGGAAGCTCCACTGCCCCGCCGACGTGTGCGGGCCGCTCTTCGAGGAGGAGCTGGCCTTCTGGGGCATCGACGAAACCGACGTGGAAGCCTGCTGCTGGATGAACTACCGGCAGCACCGCGACGCTGAGGAAGCCCTGGACAGCTTCGAGACCCCCGACAGCCAGGACGATGAGGACAGCGGCGACCTCAAGCGCCTCTGCCTGCAGGAGGATGGGCGCAAGCTGGGTTGGTGGTCCTGCTGGCAGCCCAAGATCTGGGCGCTCTTCGAAGATCCCTACTCCTCCAAGATGGCCCGGGTGAGTCGGAGAGAGGCAGGCTGGGGCATTTCGGCGCCCTCCAGATGGGCTGCCTTAGAGCATCCCTCCTCCTCCCCCCAAGTATCTAGCACTCCTGCTGGTGGGGGGTGGAAGGGGAGTTGAATTCTAGCACATCTGGAGAGTGCCCGGTTAGGAAAGAGCCCACATCGGTATTTCCTTGGATCCCCTCCTCCGTAGCATTGTTTATGGGAAATAGATGGTCCTTGTTACTGTTGCTATGAGCGCGACTATTCCATGATTAATATCAGTTTGTTGGCAAAGTAAATAAAGCAGGACAGCCCCCTAGGATTTTACAGCTATAAATGGAGACAATGGAAGAGACAATGGGGGGGCAAGCAAGGCTCAGAGGAGAAGAACGTGTTGGGTTGAATTTGGTGTAGCGCATTCTAGAAGAAAATCCCGCCATTCTAGAGGACTAGTATCACAAATAAGAACACAGGATTAATGGCAGGCTTGAATTGGGTGATGGGTGGAAATCCTATTCCTTCCACTGTAGCTCAGTCTAGCCCAAGACTGTCCCTTAGAGTAATGATCGCTCTAAGACAGCCTTCCCCCAACCTGGTACTCTCCAGATGTGTTAAGACCGCAGTTCTCAGAACTGTACTGATGTGTTGACACTACAAAATCAACTCCAGGGGAATTCTAGGGGTTGAAGTCCTAACACAGTTGGGAGACACCAAGTTCAGAAAGGGTGCTGTAGAGTTTTCAGGTAGGGAAGAGTCAGTCCTGTTTAGCAATTTGGTATTGCCAGGAAGTGAACATGGATGTTCTGCATGTAAAGTATGTACTCTGCAACCAGCTCATGTTCCAAAGTGAGCTGGAGAAATTGCCCATTGAAAAAGCAACAACCGTTGTTTGATTTTGTAACTGGACCTTGATTCTCTCCACAAGCAGCCCTTTCTGCTTGTGAATTCTGTCCCCTTCCCACTGCATCTTCACCTCTTGCCCTTGAACCTTGAAACTGCACTTTTAGGAGAAGGTTCAGGGGAGAGAAGAAGTGATGTGTCAGAAGAGGTGAGAAAGAAAGAGGGGGCTCCTTGGGATAAATCCGCTTTAGCAGTAGACAGGCAGTGATTTGCAAACTTTTTTCAAATGCTGATTGAACAGTGGCAGGCAAGCTATGCTTGTAAAGGCATAATCTCTGTATGCAGCACTTCATATGGATGAAAGGATGTGCCAGTTTGGAGGTGTGAGTGGCACTGAATGTGGGGGGTGAAACCATTTCGGGAGGGGGAGGATGCACTAGCTGTGTCTCATGCACAGACAAATTTGGACAAATAATGTGCAAAGGAAATGCCCAGAAAGTAAGCTGGCATCTGGAATAAGAACAGGATGCTTAGGGCAACCTTTCTCAATTTGGAAGCCTTCAGATAAGGTGGACCACAATTCTCATGTTCCCCTCACAGCTTCATGAACAGGCTGCCTGGGACAATGGGAACTGTAATCTAAATATATTTGGAGGACATCAGATTAGGGTCATGCATGATATTGAACTGAGAGCCAAGTAGATATGTACCCATACATGGCAGAACAAGAAGAAATGGATTGGGCAGTGAAGCCAAATTCCTTGTCTCAAGGAAGTAAGGTTGGAGCTCAGGACTGGATGACTGTACCCAGTGGAGAGAGAAGGTTCTCTGAGTTTCAGGGAAAGTGTGCAAGAGGCCAAGGGTGAGAAATGGAGAACTGGGGAAAGAAGCATTGAAAAGCACAGAGATAATGTGAGGACTGTGCAAGGCACCAGAAGTAGGTAGCAAAAAATAGGGTGGGGAGCGAGGACCCAAAGTTGAATGCCACAGGATACAAGTGTGAATGAAAGTAGTAATGTGTAGCAGCAGGAGGGCCCTAATACGCATGCCCCAGTGTTATGACTAGCTTCTCGGCGTTAGAGAGAATGCCTTGATTTCCGGCAGGAGGTGCTGCTAACCCATTACAAATCCTTTCCTCATTGTTCCCCAAACTGAGGTCTCCTGTCCTTCTCATTCCTGTTCTCTCTGCCTTCCCTCCCCGTTACTATCAGGTCTGACTTCTACCTTCCCTTCATCTTAGAATCCTCCTGTCCCACACTAAAGTTTTGCCCCCTCGCTCTCACAGACCCATTGCCCCCAGTGCCAAAGCTAAGTCTCTCCACACTCCATTGCATGCAATCCATTTCACTCAGACAGGGAGAGATTCACAGACACACACTGCATTCCTCAGCATTGCAGTTCTAAATCACGCCCCCCCCCCCCCCCC